CCCGCCCCGGCATCCTATAATGCCAGCTGCTGCCAGTGCTCGTTCTAAATACAGCCCAGTCATATTACTAGTTTGCTTGGAATTCTTTACCACCTCCTCTTTGGCCTGCCGGTTAAATTCCATTAACAACAATGAATTTATTTTATAAATAGAAAAATACAACAAATGCAGGATTCTTCCAACTCCCAACTGTAGCAGGCAAGATCTAGCCTGTCTCATTGGCATGGCCCCTGCACTGCCCCTCAATCTGCCCAAGCTGCTTTCCCTGACTTGAACTATGTACTTCCCTTCCCTGCAAGACTTAGCACCAAGTCTGCTGGAAAACAAACCTTCCCCAGCCTAATTTAGCTTCACCTCCCATGAGGTCCTGCAGAAACCTGTCAAAATCTGTCACACATATCACACTGCACTGCAATGGTGAGATTTCTTGACATTTGTCAAGTTAGTGAAATGCTTACAAATATATCTTTCAGCTTTGTGCCCCCACAAAGTGCTAGTGCCGTTTCTGGCACACAACAGACAAGAATGCTCACAAGTCGAATGAACAGATGAAGCACAAATGACTTGGCCAGAATAACAGAGTTGGGATTTGGATTTACAGACCCTCAGTTTGTTTTATTCACTCACCAAGGACTATTACCAGTGTTGTGCTTTTTTTAACCTATGTTTTAATAAATTGGTTTGGCCATTGCATTTGTAACACATATTAAAAGTGACAGCCTATTATTTCATTTTAGTTTTTTAATTAAATTCATAATCCAAAAAGTACTCATGATTTTTTTTAAGCCAAACATAAAAGAGCATGTTTCTCAGCTGCTTTTTCCCATTAGTTTGGTCAAACACTGCTGTCAGGTTTCCTATAGTTTCATGAGTTATAATATGCACATGTAAACCAATATACATAGGTAAAAACACAAATAGAGAGGCATTTTAAACACATTTTAACGCAAATCTAAGTTTACTATAACTTGGAGTTCTATATTCTTGTTAATGGTTGTATAGTATTTCATTGTGTGAATTAACATATTTTAACAAGTCCCAAATTGATGGGACATTTAGGTTCTTGCCAATAAATGAACTTAGGTGGAAGTAATTTCATATGTGTGCTCAGATATGAAAAGATGATAGCATTTTTCAAAGCAATAGAAATATCAAATTAAGTCTCTTTTGCTAACAGGGCCTCACCAGAAATTTTTCCCAAATCTCTCTCTCTCTGCCTCCCCATTTGTAAAATGAGATTATTTCTTGCCCCTAAAGGCTCATAGTTTATAACTGCATGTTGTTAAGACTAAAGGTTTATCCTTTTTGGCTTTGAAATTCTTCCAAAGGAGGAAGCTTGTTTCTCCCTTTAATCCATTTTCCTGTTAGATTTAAAGGATTTATAAACAGGATTTTTTGAAACGTATCCCTTTTCTTGTCTTCCAACTTAGCAATTTACTGTGACTAAGACAGTGTTTTCCTACAATATTTTTTAAGCCTCTCCCTCCATTTATTCAGAGATGAATTTACTTTACTGTACCATGTGAAATTTACTTTGTTTCCAAAGTGAGAAGTGCAAAAAACAAAAACAAAAACAAAAAACCCAACTTACCTGCCCTGCTTTTTTGTTTCTATCTTTCCAGCTATAAACTCTGAGCTAACAAGTATGAAACAGGCAGAGGAAAAAGTCATCAAGTCAGAAGAGAAAATCAAATAAAAAGATCATTGTATCTTTCCAAAGCAGCTGGGTGTTTGATAACAACATGGGAAACTTGTCACCAAAGGGGGAGGAACTTTTGTACCCACAGAGATTTCCAGGGTCCTCCACATCACAGTCCTTCTCTATGACTGAAAGGAAGCTGTGGGTTAAGCGGATCCAAAGGGCAAAGGCCAAGAGCTGCCTTTCTCAGTCACATGGGGCTTCACTGAATCACTTTGGCTACTGGAGTTACCTTTCCAGAGCCCTAGAGAAGGCCCAGCTGTATATTAGAGTCATCCACCAAGCCTTAGAAATGCCCCAGTCCCAGAAAGCCTGATTTTAACATTTGGGCCAGGTTCTTAGAATCGTGCTTTTTAAAATTTCACCAAAAAATGCAGCCAAGGTTGAGAACCTCTAATGTGCAGCCAGTGTTGAGAACCTCTATTGTGGAGCTTTCTGGGCAGTGGGTTGCTAGCAGCTTGCATGTCTCAGGAACAAGGAGAAGGGGATTAAGTGTGATAAGAAACCCAATCCATGGTAATCCTGGAAACCCCACAAAAGACCAATCTGACCCTTCTGCTCCCTAGCTTTAAACCCTCAGTGCCTTCCATTTGTTCACAAGATAAAGACCAAAGTCCTTACCTACCCTGGAGGCCCTGGGGGTCTGGCTCCCCTCCAGCTTTCCCACTTTCCTTGGCCTCAATCCCTGTTGCACCAGATCTTCCTCTGACTATCCTCTGACTTCCTGCTTCCTTCCACCAGTTGGTCTTGGCCCGTAACATTCTTCTCCCTGGCCCTCCGCTAGCTCCCCCCATGCCAGGCTTCAAGCACTGTCCGGACGAATGGAAGGGACATGCCTCTGTCAGGAGAAGGACCAGGGAGGGTTCAACCCGCTGCTGAGCCCACCTAGCTTGCTAGGGCTGTTCACACTGGCAGCAGACTTTCTGGAGGTTAAAATAAGTTGACAACGAAGAAGAAACAAGACATCTATTGGATTTCTTTTACCAAAGAGCATGCACCTCAGGAATGTTTGCCTTTATTTTACCTTATGTGTTTTTTGTTGTGTTTTAACCTAATAGGAGAGTGGTGATGAACTGGACTATGAGGATGAGCCAGAGGGACCCTTCAGAGAAAATCATCAAGACACTCCAGGTATAGGCAGATAGGTCGGATTTCACAACCTATCACTGTCATTCAACTGACATTTGCATTGTTAGAAGATATTTGTGGAGAATGACCTTGCCATTTCCTCTCAGTTCATGGTTGGATATCAAAACACAGACCAGAATGTTGAGTTCAGATTCCTGTATGTTCTAGTATCTCAGAAGTGCTGATAATAACATGCAATGATGTCCTTGAACTTGCTGAGTTTTCTTTCCTGCCAGAGGTTGCAGATTCATAGAAAAGAGTAAAGATGCTAGGGCTATTAAAAAAAAAAAAGATGGGCCCTCCCTGGTGGCACAGTGGGTTACGGGTTAAAGCGCTACACTGAGAAGCTTAAGCCACTTCTGCATGAGTTCAATTCCCGCCTGCCCGGGAAGAGCCCCACATGGTGAGGCAGACCTCTCCTGACTTGCCTGCTGCTCTCCTCAGCAGTGTACTGCGTGGATCTGCCTGTTCTGTTCCCCACTCTGTCTCTGGTGAATCCTCTCACCCTCCACATCTCTGGCCTGTACCCCAGTTCTATATGAATAAATAAATAAATCTTAAAAAAAAAAAAAAAGATGCTCTGGGGCCCTCCCTGGTGGTGCAGTGGGTCAAAGCACAGCACTAAGAAGCTAAAGCCACTTCTGCATGAGTTGGATCCCTGCCTGCCCCCGAGGTGACCCACATGGCGCAGCAGACCTCTTCTGACCAGCCCGCTGCTCCCCTCAGCAGTGTACTTTCTCGATCTGCCTGTTCTGCTCCCCAACTCTGTCTCTGGTGAAGCCTCTCACCGCCCCTGAGCCTCTGGCCTGTACCCCAGTTCAGTACGCACAAATAAATAAACCTTCAAAAAAAAGATGTTCCACAGGGACCTCTGCCTTTCTGCTCCCTCTTTCACAAGGACTGGGACATTCAGGCAAAGAAGCTGAGGTTTCAGGCCTGAGGGATAATATTCCACCAGCGCGGATGGACCTGTGACCTAGAGCTCTGCATGGCTAAAGCTGCTTGAGTGCAATTTCCTCCCAAACGAACCCTGTGTTTGACAATGTTCCAGTTCCAGGAAATATGGAGGTCCGGAGCTAGGTGTTTTGGCATAGCTCTTACTCCCAGACCCTGAACTCGCCTCTGAGTTCTTCTCTGCGTGATGCTGCAGTCAGCCAGCTATTCGTTAGCTCCGTTGCTTCTTGTAGAAGTGGAAATAGGCGTTGGAGGGAGTTGCACCAGCCAGTCAGTTGCTGTGCAAAGGTGTTCAGCAGAGGGAGCAAGTGAGGACTCAACGCCAAGGTGCTCTGCTCTGCTCTGGGACATCCAGCACTGGGGCATCCACCCAGAACAGGCTCGTTTTTCCTGCTTAGCCCTCTTAATGGGGTGTCTCTCTAGGTGACATGGGGTGCTCTCTGCAGGCTAACAGCGTCTGAGCCGCTGTGAAAAGATCATATGCTCCACAGTCGATCTAAGTCAAGTCCACCTTACCCTCTCCCTCATCCGTCCTCTGAGACTGAAAACCACTCTCCCCTCCAGGGTGCATGAGAGTAAGTGACATAATCCCGCATAGTAGCCCTTTACTGAGTGTTATTCACTGGCGAGCGCATGGTCACCTTTCTCCAGGATCACAGGGTAGCTAACAGGGTAGTCAAAAATACTCTTTCTTCTCACTTTTTCTTCTGTCACTGCTTCTTGATATCAGACAATAAAGATGCTAGCCTGACCCTATGTTAGGACAAACTTTTTTTTTTAAGATTTATTTATTTATTCATACAGAACTGGGGTACAGGCCAGAGGTACTAGGGGTGAGAGGATTCACCAGAGACGGAGTAGGGAGCAGAACAGGCAGATGTACTGAAATACACTGCTGAGGGGAGCAATGGGCGGGTCAGGAGAGGTCTGCTGCGCCATGTGGGTCAGCTCCCTGGCCAGGATCGACCTCGTGCTGCAGTGGCTTCCTAGAGCTTCATACTGCGGTGCTTTAACCCATTGTGCCACCAGGGAGAGCCGAGGCCGAACTTTTTAAGCAGAATTTCTGCTAACACCAGTCCCCTACCCCCTCCATTCTCACAGCTGAGTGGCAATAGCCAGGGAAACACCCATCTTCAGAATTGCCAGGTGGTAAAACACACATAAATCCAGCATGTGAGCCCAGTTGAGGCCCGGTAGGGTAAGTGGAAGTGATCAGGTTTGCTCTGCCCTCCCACCATCACATCAGTGATGGACACCTATGTTCGAGCACGCGTGCCTGATGGCGGCACCTGGTGTAGAGTGGAGCACCTGAGCCAGAGACCGAGCGTATAAGGGCAGCAGCGGCCAACGAAAGTGGCAGAGGACCATGCTGTGGAGACCAGCGAAGAGGCCTTAAGAGAACACCAGGAAGAGTGAAGACTCATGGGGGGCTGGGAGGCCTGCCAGGGCCCGGCCCCAGGCCTCCCTGCCTGCCCTCATCTGGCCTCCTCACTGCAAATGATGTAGAGACATCACTAAACACCTGACAAGGCCACTCCAGGACTCCTTTGCCTTCTGCCTAGAGCAGAGAAAACCTGCTCCATGCCTTGCTGGCACAGCAGGTGCCAAGGTCTTGCCCAACCACCAGGGAGGTCTTAGGCAACATAGACCATGGCGGAAAGTGAGCAACATCCAAGTGAACACAACAGATGTCTCTCTCATGGCGGAGAAGCAGACTCCTCAAAGGTGATTCAGGGCTTTAATGCAGTAAAACCGCTGCAGAAAACTAAAGAAGGCACTCATCTGTTCTGTGTGATAAACATTAATATTTTAAAAGGATTTCAAATCCTTTTTAAATGTTGAAAAGATGTCAAGGAAATTTTTTTTTATTTTTTATTTATGCATATAGAACTGGGGTACAGGCCAGAAGAGCGGGGGCGATGAGAGGCTTCACTGGAGACAGTGGGGAGCAGAACAGGCAGATCAATGAAGTTCACCGCTGAGGGGAACAGCAGGCGTCTCAGGAGAGGTCTGCCGCGCCATGTGGGTCACCTCCAGGGCGGGGATCGAACTCATGCGGAAGTGGCTTTAGCTTCTTAGTGCTGTGCTTTACCCTGCTGCACCACATAGGGCCCGAGGAAATTTTTTAACCCTCGAAGGATGAGTTTTCTCCTCAGTCTTAAGGTTAATTATCAATAGTGGTTTTTTTCCTACTCCAATTTCAGGAGTGAACATCATGATTAATTATAAGCAGTTAGCCAGAGCCATGCCCTGTGGAGGATCACAACTCTCAGACTTGGTGAGAATGCAGCATGCAAGTGTCCAACAAGACAGGCCAAACCAGCACTCTCCAGTTCAGAGAAGTTTGGAAAAGTGCTCTGAGTGAAATAAACTTCCCTTTCTATCCCACCCTAAAAGTCCAAGGAAATAAAACACCCAGTAAGTCTTTAAGAAATTGAATTGAACATCAGAGCCCCCTCCTCACCTCCCACCCCTACCCCACCGACCCACCCCCATCTCCACCCCCCTGTGGCACATGGGTTAGGACGCAGCACTGTGAGCTAGCGTAGCTGCCTCAGTGCAGGGGTCAATCCTCTACCCTGGAGGTGACCACATGGCGTGCAGACCTCTCCTGACCATCCCTGCTCCCCTCAGCAGTGTGCTTGGTGGACCTGCCTGTTCTTTTCCCCACTGTCTCTGGTGAAGCTCTCACTGTCCCTGCACCTCTGGCTTGCACCCCAATTCTGTATACATAAATAAATAAATCTTAAAATAAAAAGAAAGTGTACCCCCCAAAATCCCAAGAAAGAATAAGACTTCAATTCTGGTTGATTTCCTAGACCAGTAGTTCTCACCCTGACAGTGAATCAGAATTGGAAGACTTGTTAAAGACCTGTGAGCCCCACTCCCAGAGTTCACTAGCTCCAGCTGAGATCTAAGAATTTGCCTTGTCAGTAATTCCAGGTGATTCTGTGCTGCTGATCCCAGGATCACTCTTTAACCTCTACTACCCAAGTCCTGCTTCTAGGATTTGTTTTTCTGAATTTGGCAGTCACTGAAATTAATCTGTTCTTTTAGAAAATAATGGGGGTGGGAGGATTGGCAGGCAAGTTTCAGGCAGCTTCATAGTGACCAGCAAGGCTGACTATCAAATCTGATTCCCCAGATTCGAATCCTGGCTCCAAGTTACTGCATGGCCTTAAGTGAGTTATTGAACTTCTCTGGGCATCTTTTTGTTTTTTTTTCTTTAGATCTGTAACATGGGGATGCTAATAGTACTTACATCACAGGGCAGTTGTGACATAGTGGAGTTAATCTATGTGTTTATGAGTGCCTAGCACAGTGTAAGTGCTCAGTAAAGGTTAGTAATTAGTCTGTTCCTCAAAAATCTTAATTTTTAGCAGGAGAGAGCTTCTCTTGGGAGATTGAGTTCTTGCTTAAGTCCTTTTGCTTAAATCAGGTGTGAGCAGCTGACCCCATGTGAATGAATGTCTCTCCAGCCTCAGCCTTCCACCAGCTGTTATATGACAGTAGTGGCATTATTCCTGGGGGTAGCAGGACTATAGATTTCTTAGGAGGAGTGAGAGATTTGGGGAGCCCTGCGTGAGATGCAGGGGTCCCCAAGGAGTCTCATGAAACAACTGGACAAAAGCACAAAAGGCAACTCTTCAGAAACCCTTAGACTCACACGTGATTCTGTTGAGAGACATTCTCCTTGGTGTTAAAAGTCACCAGTAGGAGTGTTTGCAATCTGGGGCTCTCATTCATAGACAAGGGAGAAAGCAGGTAGGCCAAAGAGGAGTACAGACTTAAAGAAAAGCTGCTTTCAAATAGTAGAGAAATCTAAATGTTGAGACACTTCAGGCACAGGTTATTTTTTGGAGGGGGTGGGGGAGGTAAGGCCTGCGGTCAGTATGGCAGTGTTTGCTACCTCATGGCAGCAAGAAACCTAGCAGCCTAGCCCACAGGGAACATGACTTCCTCTCTCCAGCTCCTATGCTGCCCACCCTGGTGAGGTCCTCCCCACCTGTGACCTATAAACGCCTTACAAAAGAACTCCTTGCCACTGGTCTCTCCCAAAGAACTTTTCTCTCAGTCACATCTTTAGTCTTTTCTTCTCTGTGGTAGCTTGTGATATCTCTCCAACGCTAGGACCTCCTGTGGATTGTAGGCCTCGCTAGAGACTTACTGCCCAAGGATGTATAAAATCCGCAAAACAGCTTCCTCTTTAGATTCTAGGAGAAATTTGGGAAGGAAAGCCCTGAAGTGCCACCCAAATAATTTAATCTTTTCAAATTATAAAGTCTGTCTTTTGGTTTGTTTTCTGCACAAACCAAAAAAGGAAGCCCTTTTTGTCTCTCACTCTGAAGCAAGATAAGATGTTAGGTCCTTTATTACCTTGTCTCATTTTGTCCTCACATTAGCCTAATGAGGTAAAGTGCATTGTCTCCATTTCACAGATGAGGCTCAGAGAGGGTAGGGAACATACCCAAGGTCACACAGCCAAGAAATGAAGGGACTGGACTATGAGCCCAACTTTCTGTAACTCCAAGTCTTTGGCTCTTTAGACCTGTATCTCAGGCCCTCCCTAGTGGTGCAAAGTGTTGGGAAGCAGCACAGCAAGCTGGAGCTGCCTGAGTGTGAGCTCCATCCCTGGGGGGGTAAGGGGTGGGGGAATGGTGTGGCAGACCTCTCCTGACCCGCTCTCAACAGTGCACTTCATCTATCTGCCCGTTCTGCTCCCCACTCTTGTCTCTGGTGCATCTTGTCTCCTCCCCTGCACCTCTGTCCTGTATCCCAGTTCTGTATGCATAAATAACTCTTTAAAAAAGAGTGGTATCTCATCCATGTGTTTCTCCTTAGAAAATTGTTACAAAGTAGAGAAAACATAAAATTATGGCAGTGTTTTTTTTATTATTATTAAAAAGTTTATTTTTACATCATTTTGCACATTTTTTTTCCATCTCGATTGTAATCCCCACGGGTTTCCCATCACCAAATCACCCCTGTGCCACCACCATAGTCCCGTGCATTTCCCTCCCTCCCCCCCACCCCGTTTTTGATCACATTCCCCACTCCACCCCCACAGAATGTCTCTGGTCTATGGTTGTTCATTATTTTTGTTATTTTCTCGTATGGCAGTGTTTGTTTTTTTTTTAAAGATTTATTTATTTATTCATACAGAACTGGGGTACAGGCCAGAGGCTCAGGGGCGGTGAGAGGCTTCACCAGAGACAGAGTGGGGAGCAGAACAGGCAGATTGACGAAGTACACTGCTGAGGGAAGCAGCGGGCGGGCCAGGAGAGGTCTGGCTCGCCATGTGGTCACCTCCGGGGCAGGCGGCAGGCGGGAATCGAACTCATGCGGAAGTGGCTTCAGATTCTCAGTGCTGTGCTTTAACCCGCTGCGCCACCAGGGAGGGCCTGGCAGTGTTTTTTAAGGCCAGCATAACTCTTGGAGATTATTTATAGGTCTCAGAGTCTCTCTGCATTTGGAGATGACGCTGTACCTCTCTTCCGGTGTAGGGAGGACTCCTACCCCATTTGGGTCTCATAATCTGCTGCAGGGAAGAAACGGGATATCAGAGTAGCATTCCTTCAACCGCCACTCCTCAAATCCCTTCATCTTAAAATAGTCAACATGCCAAGACACCAAACTGTGGGGTGGTGTACTCTGAATCCAGTCAGTTGAGACACACCAAGTTAAAGAGAATGGTTGCCTCCTAGGAGAGTGAGGGCAATGGGGTTGTATGTGAAAGTGACTTTATTATTTCTGAATTGTTTTATTTACTTTAAATGTGTCTTGGATTTGGCCACTGTTAATATTTACAAAGCTAGTTAGTAAAGTACCTGGGTAAATCATTCAGTAGTTTTCCTTATACTCCATGTTTTTAAGACATATAACAGAATTTTTTAAGCAGTTAAAAGCTGTAAGTTATCACTCAAAGTACTACCCTCGTTTATTCCGATACTTCTTAAATACCAAGCATTTACCAGAGAAGAACTAATCACCCTTCTATGAGCCACAGCCCAGACTGACAGGTTTTTTCAACTCTAATCAAAATGGGGCGATTACTGCAACAAGAAATGTCAGCTTTTGCTCAGTACAAACACGCCCTCTGCTGGTCGGATTGTGCTCTCTCCCAAAGCTCAAAAGAGGAAAAAGTGACTTCAGTAAGTTTTATTCTGAGCCAGCTGTGGTAGGGTATAAAAAAAGACCTCTCAGAAACCCCCTTATCACATAAATGCATTAACCTGTTAATATTACATAGTATCCAAGACAAAATAAATTTTAAGGTAGCACCAGAGTCGTCAACCTTCCCAATCTCCTGAGCAGCCTCGAGTGTGCACAGTTCTGGCTCTCTCTGATGTGAGAAGCCGTGGACACTGTACTGCAGAAGGGAACTCGGTTTGCAAGGAAACTCCTGGGATGGGGCCGGTAACAATGATCAAACTCTGAAAATTGAACTAACTGGAGTATTAAGGTGCTGGTGGGATGACAGGTGAACATTTTGAAATCTGTAAAATTTTAACAGTTTTAAACAAACAAAATTGAGGGAAGGTAAGTTGACTTATGCAAGATTCTTCTGCTCAAAGAAAAAGAGAGAGAGGATTGAGATTGAATACAATCTCCCTTACAGAAAGATTTTTACTTTTATTTTGTGTCAGTAACCACCATCCTCACTAGAATTTAAGTTCCCTGAGACCAGGATACATGTCCATCCAACTCATTACTAGATTCTCAGCACCTAACACAATACCATGCATGTGGAAAATCTTTAATAAGCATGTGATAAAAGAAATACTGAGTGACTGTTGCTTCAATATAAATTGGTACAAATTTTCTGAAAAAAAAATTTGACAATAGATACAATACCTTAAAGGCCATACATTTATCATTCAATAATCATAAACATGGACAAAAAGTCTTAATAAAAAAAATTCAAAGATATTCTATGCAAAATTCTTTACAGTTATGAAATTTTGAAACAATCTAAATTCTAAACATTGTGTGTTTGGTTAACAATTATACATCTATATGATGAAATGCTATGCTGATTAAAATCATCTGTCAAAAAAATTGCATAAGGGCCCTCCCTAGTGACACAATGGGTTAAAAAACAGCACCATGAAGCTGTTGCAGTCACTTCAGCACAAATTAGATCCTGGCCAGGGAGGTGACCCACGTGGCATGGCAGACCTGACAGACCTCTCCTGTCTCACCCACTGCTCCCCTCAGCAGTGTATTTCAGTCAATCTGCCTATTCTACTCCCCACTCCGTCTCTGATGAATCCTCTCACCCCAATCCCCCATGCCTCTGGCCTATACCCCAATTCTATATGTATAAGTAAATCTTTTAAAATAGATATTGAATAATATAGAAAATTCTATTAAAATAATGGTTGATTAAAATTACATATACATTATTTTGTTTATTCTATTAAATAATGAATGCATATTTATTAGATAAAAATGAAGTAAATAGACCAGAACATTTGCAGTAGTTTATGTAACTAGAGTGATCAAGGATGAGGTTTCTTGTTTGTTTGTCTGATTCTTACTCTTTTTCTTTTTTTAAAGATTTATTTATTTGTGCATACAGAACTGGGGTACAGGCCAGAGGCTCAGGGGCAGCGAGAGACTTCACCAGAGACAGAGCAGGGAACAGAACAGGCAGATCGACGAAAGTACACTGCTGAGGGGAGCAGCAGGCGGGCCAGGAGAGGTCTGCCACGCCATGTGGTCACCTCCGGGGCAGGCGGAAATCGAACTCATGCAGAAGCGGCTTTTTAGATTCTCAGTACTGTGCTTTAACCCACTGCGCCACCAGGGAGGGCCAGATTCTTACTCTTTTTATCAGGTACCAGGCACTGTATTTGTAGTCAAATGTTTTGTGTTAATTTTTTAAGTAGTTTTATTAATTCCCCTAAAATCCCCGTTGTTAGGTTGTTCCTAATCAGAGGTGCAGGTAGTGAGAGGATTCAGGAGAGACAGAGTGGGGAGCAGAACCGACAGATCTACTGAAACACACTGCTGAGGGGAGCAGCTGTGAGACAGGAGAGGTCTGCCGCACATGTGGGTCAGTCAGCTCCCTGGTTGGGGCCCCAACTCATGCTGCAATGGCTGCTGATCACCTCGCAGTGCTGAGACCTTACCCCTTGCGCCACCAGGGAGGCCCAAAAGCTTGTTTCTTCCTTTGAGTTATTTCCTTCTGATAGATAGCCAAGAGTGAGATTCCTGGTCAGAGGCTGGCACATTTCCTGGGTCCTGACACACTGTTTTATCACCTTCCTGAAGGGTCTCACTGGTTTTAATGTCACTTGCTCTGTGTGTGTTTGTGCTAAGTCCCTTGGTATAACATACATCATTGTTGCACTCTGTATGCCGCTGACTACTCACCTGGGACACAGTCCCGGGGCTGGGATCACTGCCTGCTGTCCTTTGCTGATTAAGGATGCTCCTTGTCTTCACAGACCCAGAGTCAAGGAGTCTGACCCTTGGTCCTCTCAGTGCTTCCCTGGCTGAGTACCCTAAGGCAGATACTGCCCAAAAGGCGTAAGTGTTCAGAGTGGGAAAGGCACTAACTCCTCCGCTTTTGTTTTTGTTCTTAATTTTGTTTGTTACTAAGAGGCATCAAGATTCTCTCCAACAGACAGAATTAAAATACTAATGAGGAAACAAAGATCTTGGGGTGTATTACAGGGTGATGAGCTTCCTACAGAAACCATGTTTTTGGCTGAGTGGGTGAGTAGTGAAGCTGAATAGTGTGGAATAAGCTTTCTCCATTTGTTCATTATCTGAGGTTCACAGACCTGCCCAGAAAGCTGAAGGTCTGTCACTCAGCCACAGCTTCAGCATTGGCAGCCTAAACACTCAGGTGGCATTTAAAAAGGGAAGCACACTTATTTAAGATCAAAGAATTGTAATTTGTGGTACAGAGATTCAGGTAGAAACTAAGAGCAAAATCAGAACTTTTTAGGAGAGGAAGGTAGAGGGGACATTAGTGGTTAAAGACTTGAATGAGAACTAGGATTCTAGTGGCAAATATCAGATAGTATATACAGATGTTGGGTTAAAAGACTGCACACCAGAAACCTATACAATATTGCAAGTCAATATTACTTCAATTTTTAAAAAGCAAGAGTTGAATTGTATTACAAGTTTCACTATTCTTGGCTATACACTGTTGGTTACTGATTCTATTCTCCAGCAAAAGGTCCATAATCATCAGTTCTCAACAATTGGTTTGACAGCTCTTAAATCAATTGATTTGGGCCTAGTTCAGAGGTCTCTAACTTTTGACAGGTAATACAGGGCCTCTGTAATGGGTGGTTGGCTCCATTTTTAAAATGATTCCACAAATGTCACCTTTCACAACATTCACTCAGCTCTGTAGGGTAAGTAATTCCAATACTAGTGAAATCTAACATGGATTAAGTGTTCACTGTGTGCTTGTTCTGAACTCACTGACCAGTAGTTCAGCCAATATCCAGACCAGTCAGGCCCAGGTCCATTTGAACCCCTTTGGCTGTGGCTGGAGTGGCCATCTCCATCGCCACCTGTTAAGTACAGTCTGCTGTGGCCTCCCTTGAATCTCTGTGACTGGAAAACCTGCCTTCCTCTGCCTCTGAGGGTTTGGATTCTTCCTGGATTAGAAAGGCTTTGTGTTCCCCAACACAAAGAGAAGGGCAGTTGGGTTGCGAGGCAGATATATGAAGAATTCCATTCTTTTAAACGTATATACCTCATTGTCTCCCAAAATGGATTTAAACTTACAACTCTACACACACACACACACACACACACACACACACACACAAAGGTGAGGTATCAAACCAAAACAGAAAATTTAAATCAAGAGGAAAAGAATACTAATACTGCACAAAACATATTATAGGCATTGTGACTAAAGTTCAGACTTTCAGACGTGATACAGAGATTTCTGAATGTGAAAGAGAAAAAAAAAAGGAGCAACATGATCAGGTTTGTGTTTCTCATTTGCCAAATACCTGTTCCTCAGGGGAAATAAAGGTTTTCCCAGTGCTAAATTCTTAAAGGCTACTTCTATGAGTTTTTATAGAGTGACACTGAATGATTTAAAGACTCATATATTTACAGGAAATTCCATTTGCCTCATTCAACAAATATGTCTCAGGTTTCTATACTAAGGCCCTGTGCTTGCATGGCACAGTAAATATAACACTGATTTAGTTAAAAACTAAAGTGCCCATTTTAGCAGTGAACTTAATGTAGTATGCACACATGTTTATTTTCAATGATGAACACCTGAAACTTATAATGTTAGAATGCAATGTTACTTCAATAAAAACATTTTTTCAACAAAAAATGGAATTCCCAGAACCAGACCTGGCACATATCAGCTGTGGTGGCTGCTGTTACTGGAACCCATGTGATTATTTCTTAGTGAACTTTTTGCCCGGAGAACATAAGTCAATTTTCCTCACAGCTCATAGTCAGTGACAGCAATTCTACAAGGGATCAAACATACCTAGCATATGGTGACTGATCAAGAATAGAACTCAGAGAGCATAAAGGCATGGATGGATAGTTGCATATTCCAAAGTCTTTTTTTTTT